AGCCTCTGGGTATGTATATGAAAATACAGGTTTCTGTGGAGACCGGAGTTGTCAGATCTCCTTGAAGCTTGAGTTATAGGGTTGAGAACTGCTCACCATGGGTGCTGGGAACTGAACCTGGATCCTCTGCAAGAGCAACACATGCACTTGGCTATCTTGGGACTTGCTCTGTAGACCAGGCTGGCCTCGAACTCACAGAGATCTGCCTGCCTCTGCCTCCTGAGTGCTGGGATTAAAGGGGTGCCCTGCTTTATTAATGTATTTTATCCTTTAAAATTACTTAAGATTTAATGGTTTCTTGATTATTAGTTGATAAAGATATGCTTCCATGTTACTTTAAAATAAAACAATTCCATTTTAAAACATGTCTGCATTAGCTATTATAGTGTATTCTCTGTATATTTATGTTGTTTGTGAAAATAGTCCTCAATATGTTATTATAAAATCAAACAAAATACCTTTTGTGTATGGTTTGCTATGTAGTTGAGGCTTCAAACTTCATCTTGTAGCCCCAATCTCTTGAGTGCTAGAGTTACAGCTATACCAACCCACCCTCTACTCCTGAAATTATTAACTGTCTTTTATTAAGATGATACAAAAAACAAGTTGGGTGAAGAAACATTAAGAAATTTCCTTAAGATGGGTTGGAGAGATGGCTCAGTGGCCAAGAACACTGGCTGCTCTTCCAGAGAACCTGTGTTCATTTCTATTACCCACATGGCAGCTCACTGCTCTCTAGCTCCAGGGGATCTGACATTCTCACACAGATGTGCATACAGACAAAAGAGCAATGCACATAAAATAAAAATAAATAAAAAAGTTTTTAAGAATGCTGAAAGTGGTGCATACCTTTAGTCTCAGCACTCGGGAGGCAGAGGCAGGCAGATCTCTGTGAGTTCAAGGCCAGCCTGGTCTGCAGAACAAGTGCCAGGACAGGCTCCAAAGCTACACAGAGAAACCCTGTCAGCCCTGTCTGGAAGGAAAAAAAAAAATAATGCTGAAAGTAGGTGAAATGGCCTTCCCCAGGGAAAAGCACACCGAATGGATATTCAGATATTCAGTGCCAAATGCTCAGCTCTGAAAACATACATACAAGTAACATTATGTAAACTGAGGTTATGTTATGTATCTAAGAAAATACATAACTTTAACTGAGAAGCTGCCTGTCTTTGTCCATTTGACCTAGTCTCAAGTCTAGACTCTTGTGTAAATTAGGCAGCTTGAAATCTGAATGGGAACCCTCATTTTCAGATTCTTTGCCTTTGCATTTGGCTTTATATGAACTATATAGAATGCCAGCAATATTTTTGTTCATGTCTTATGTATGCAGCTATAATTTTTTGCATAAAATGTATGAAAAGTATAATGAAAATCTTAATGATGGTACGTTTCTTTTAGATTTTACCTTAGTGGATCATAAAAGGTAGAAGCAAAATGAGATTAACTTGGTGGAACAATGTTTTCCCCACTATGAATTATTAAGTGATTGTAGTTTGATGTTAATCTTTTAATTTTAATTTTTAATAATTATTTTGAGTTAAAAATGAAAATGGTACTTGAAAGAAGCAAGTGGCAGATGTAAGTTCTCCCATATGTATAGACAGATCAGGAGGGCAAGGTAAAGACTACTTCAAACAATTTCAACTACTGACAGCTGTCGAGTTAAAGTGCCATTTTCTGACAGGTGGAGGAAAACGCCAGCCAACACTTTTCTTCTCACCAGGTTCAATTATAGGTGACTGTTTACAAGGCAGCTCTAACTTGAACTAGCTTTAAAGCAAATGCTCATATTATTATTTCATCGTGTAGATTGCACAAGGCCATTTTCATGTATATGATTGATATACTTTAAGTGCATTCGCTTCTTTATCTACTTGACTTCCTTCTGAGCTTTTAAGCTGAATTTTCCCCCACATGTATTCATTCCTTTGGAAACTGAATTTCTCAAGATGCTCAGATCGAGTGTGTTAAAGAGTGACATTACCATGTAGAGGATTCTATGAATAATTTTGGGAGGAGGTTTTTGTTTTTTAAATGAATCTTCAATTTGCCGTCTATAGTATTAGGGAGTATTAAATGATGAACTCATGTTTCATTTTCCAGGTGAAAACTTACCAGTTTATAAGAAACAGAAAAGAAGTGCTTAGGATTGCTTCACTTTGTTCACTTTTAAAGCATAGTATTTCAGGTTCTGCAGCATGGTGATGTACTCCCATTACTTGAGAGGTAGTGACAGTACCAGCTCACAAGATCATTCTCCATTGCATAACAGTTCAGTGCCAACGTGGGCTTTACACCCATCCTTGTGTCAGCATCCCCTCCCGTCTCCCAAAACAAAACTCCCCCAAACTAGAAAAAAGGAAGTCACAATGTTATGTTTGCTGAGTCAAATTCTCTTTCGATTAAAGTTTAGTACCTAAATACATTTTGTAGGTAGGAATCAATTTTCCTTTTTTAAAACAACTAAATATAATATTATAGAAATCTAGCATGAGAAAGTGTTATATGCATTTGATATTTGGGTTGAAGACTGAGTATTTTGTTTCAGTGGTTTTTTTTTTTTTTTTGTACTCTTGGAACATATAAATTTGGTCATTGTAGTTGACTTTTTCTTGTGACTTTAGAGTTTTTAGTGGTTAATAGAGACAAGTCTGGTATGGATTGTATTGTGACAGACCGTAGAGGACACCTCCAGTTACAGATTCCATAAGGAAAATTAATAATCTGGGTACAGTAGCACACACCTTTAATCCTAGCACTGTAGAATCAGAAGCAGGAGAAGCTCTAAATTCAAGGATAATGGGAGCTACATAGAGAGACTCTGTCTCCAAAACGACAACAAGAAGAAAACACAATCTCCATAGGAAATCCCTCGGATTACAGTAAGAGATTGTAGAACATAAAACATGGCTGGCTGCATTTCAGACAATAAAGAGAACTTGTGTCATCAGCTACAATCAGGGTTTCCTTTGTGAGGATAGTGGGCACACAGGATGAGTAGTAGTGGTAACGTTAGAAAATGCCAAGTCCTAGATCATATTGAGTAAGTATCATTGGGACCACTGAGAAAGCCTTCCCCTCCAGCCCTTTTCTGAGGAGGTCTCTCCTGCCGTCATCACATGATGTGAAAAGCATGAAATTTGCTGGAACTCCTACCTGCCCATCCAAGAACCACCAGATTTTGAATACAGGATAAGTGAAGACTTGGGTCTTCATACTTTAGCTGCTTGTATATTTCCCCTTGCTACTCGGGAAGTGGAGGCAGGAGAACCAAAAGTTGGAGACTAGCCTGGCCTACATAATGACTTGAGTAAGCTAGTTAGCAAAGCAGTGGGCTGGAGGTACAGAGAGCTGACTGGGACAAGGTCCAATTCCAGTTTCAGAACTGCAAAGCAACACGACCACCCCTTAAACCTGGGGATATGGAATTATTTGACCATAGGGACCTGTAGGTTTTGACCTTATAATCTTTCTCTCACTTCAATGCTTGCTCCCCCTTTCTCTTCACAGAAAAGGTAAATTCCACCCCTCCTCATTACTACATCAAAGCAATGTAAACAGGTTTGCAGTCAACACAATCCAGCTAGTACATGTTTGCATGTTTCTTGAACTCTTTTAATGCTACTCTATAGATAAGTGCACAGAAGTTAGAACTCTGGGAGCACATCATTAATATTTTTGTAAAAAAAAATGCTGCTACAATTACAGGTCCTTTTGGAATAAATCATGGGATTGAACTTCATTCAGATGTGGTGGAATATGCCAAGGAAAAACTGGAGAGCTTCATCAAAAATAGCGATAGCTTTGATAAGTAAGTATTTATACCTATAGTTTTGGTGAGAGAGCAGTTAATGAATATGTGTAGTATGCCTGTTCTTGAACAGTATCAGCTTATTGATTCTAGTTAAATGAATACAGCTGAAATCTGTATGCTATGCAGTGAGAAAAAATAGGAAAATTTAACATGTAATTTTTTAATTAAATTAGATAATCTGTGGTTACTAATCTTTCACTTATTAAACGTCACATTGGTATCCTATGGAGAGAAAACACAATGTTTGTGCTCACAGTACTTTGCTGTAACTGGTTTTAAAACTTTTGGGTAGTAGTTTAACAGTCTGTCCTCTGTTTGTACCTTAATTTGTATGTCAGCATATAAGGTCCCTCTTTACAGTTTTCAGTTACTTCATAATAATTACTGCAAAAATACATCTGTGTGTGTCACTATGGGATTGTGTTTGAGATAGCCCTTTTATTGAACTGTATATGTTGAACCCAGGCTTCCCTTCTCAAGACATACTACCTAGGTGTTGATACTTGACCAGCAGTGAAAGTGAAGATTTGAATTGTAACCACATTGAAATTGTGCCTTGACAATTTTGTGGAACTAGGGCTCTTATGCTTGAATTAGAATAAAGCCCATAAATTGAAAGTCCACTATGTGTAGGACTTTGGCATGTCATTTTTCTGTATAACGTGCACAAGCTTAGAGCACAGTCACTATATAACAAGGTTTCAACGTAAAAATTGACCCACTCCAGCTGTGAGTGCTTGCGTGCGTGTGTGTCTTGGGCAAGGTGCTTCTGGGCCACCAAATGGGGTTTCAGCTTGAGAGAGCACACCTAGGAGAGAGTTCCAGAAGCCAAGAACACCCTAAATGTCTTCTAGCATGTATTCCTTTTCTGCCCCTTTGCTCCTTTCCTTGCCCTTTCATTTCTGTCTCCTTCGTTGTTGTGGGTTTGTGTCTGTGCTGGTGTGAATGATGCTTGAACTAGTTGAAGAACACAAAGCTGAGACTCCTGGAATTCAGGCAGCTTTTGTGCAACACAGGTGTGACTGCAGCCGGATTATTCAGCACTTGTGCACCAGAGGTGTGGCTGTAGTCTATTATTCAGCATTTCACAAAATGTGTATGAGTGTTTTCCTAAATATTTTTGTGTGCACCCATGCATGCCTGGTACACAAAGAATTCAGGAGAGGATGTCAGATCCCTTGGTGCTGGAGTTACAGACAGTTGTGAGCTACCATGTGGGTGCTGGGAATCCAACCCCAAGAGTAGCAAGTAAACTAAGTCACTAAGCTATCTCTCCAACCCCTGAACTACTTTTCTTTATGAATATTTAACACTTAATTCATACTCTCAACCATTTTCAATTATCTACTGCATTTACTAAAAAAAAAAAAACCCACATTTAACAGAAATTGAAGTTTTTTTAGCCCAAGTTATATAATAAGAAATTGTAGTTATACTTCAAAATCTGTTTGTCTTCATTGTTTTTCTTCTCTTTAATGACTAATGTGCTTGCTGAATCTTAAGATGTGGGCAAGATTAATTTTTATGTATTATTGGGATTTTTCATGTTGTTTGATTGCCTGTAAAATATGTGTTTTGATATTGAAACTTAATCTGACCATAAGAACTTTTTGAATACATTTAACTTAGAAAGTGTAAAGGAAATATTAACAAAGGCTCAAAATCTACAGCAAGGTCTGTTACATATTATTAATATATTTCATGTGTTGATACATGAAGGTTCCGTTTCTAGTCATTAATCAGAACAAGGAAGACTTGAGTCACTAAACAAGTGGTTCTAGATAAAAGTAAAATATGATTTCAATAATTTTTATTTTGTATAGTTTGTTACTTTATAACAAATCAGTTTAAAGGCTATTTAAATGTCTCATTTATTATTTAATGGTGTGTGTGTGTGTGTGTGTGTGTGTGTGTGTGTGTTATATACTTGTTCATGTGAGTGTGGGCATGGAGGTGTGTGTATGTGTAGAGGCCAGAGATTGATGTGGGATCTCTTTCCTACATCACTTCTTATCTGTATTTTTTAGACAGGATTTCTCACTCAAGTTGAAGCTCATCTACTCAGCTAATTGCCTGCTGCCATGCCAGACTTTTTACATGGTTCTGGGGGTACGAACTCAGGTCCCCACTTGCATGGTAGGCATCTCATCCACTGGGATACATACCTCTATAGCCCTTTGTCTCTCAAAAGAATTTTTTTAATTGCTGTTATAAATGTTTTTAAACTAAGTCCTGAAATGATCTGTAACAGTCAGTGAAGTTATCTAAATGCTTCGCTGTGACATTGAATGGCTTTGCTATTCCTTATAACCATTAACTAGCTGTTTAGCACAGTTACCAAAGTGTTACCGCTTATTTTGAAAACATTTTTATGTTAATCCATTCAAAAGAAAGACAGTTGGGGCAATTTTTTTTATTTTACTTCTTAGGCCTTGGTATTATAGTCAGATTTCTATTGCTGTGATAAACACCATGGCCAAAACGAACCTGGGGAAGAAAGGGATTATTTCTGCTTACAGTCCATCACTGTAGGTACTCAGATAGGAACTCAAGGCAGGAACCTGGAAGCAGGAACTGAAGGAGAGGCCAAGGAGGGCTGCTTACTACCTTGCTCCCTGTGATTTGCTCAGTCTGCTTTCTTATACAACTCAGGACCACCAACCTAGGGGTGGCATTTTCCACAGCAGTAGGCTGGGCCCTCACACGTCAATCATAAATCAAGAAAATGCCCCATAGACCTGTTGAGTGGAGACATTTTTCAGTTGAAGTTCCTTCTTCCCATATGACCCTAGCTTATGTCAGCCTGACAAATTAATCAGAACAGGTATAAAATATTACTTACTATTCAATTTCACATTGCAAATGGGTCTAGAGGAGTAGATAGTTCTAGAAATTTGTTTCATTTTGCATAAAGTAACAACTAGTAGGAAGTAATCAGAGTTGATTGGTTATTCATTGGGTTAGTGCTTTATTCTTTTTACATAATTTAGTTTTGGTAATCAGTTAGAGGATATGATATTTTTCTTCCTGTCATTTGTATTTTAATGATCTTTTACTCTATTTCTTTAATATCTGGGATATTATTCCTACTTTCTCTCAATTAAGAAGTATGAAAACATTTTCAAAATGTAAAGTTCCTCTTCTAAGCAGTTTCATATTTAATAGTGGATAGAGGTATGAAGACATACATTAATTATTAACAAAATTGTTCTTTTTGTAGTCCACAGCCTTCTCATCCACTCCTTCCTTCAAAAATGTTGCTGTGTTGTGTATGTTTTAAGCTACATTTTAAAGGTTTCCTTATATATGTCTGCTGGAGGTCAGGGTGAACACTTCACCAAGAGAGCTGCTAACTAACCAGTGTTAGAAAATGGAATTCATGATATAGAAATACAAGTGTGTGTGTTTGTATGTGTGGTGTGTACAAAGTAGGGGCCTCATGTCTTAAATCATATTTGTTCTTTGAATTAAAGAGTTCTTAATGTATGTCTGTTGAGCTATGTCAGCACTGCAGGAACATGTGCATGGCTCAGTGCAGCTCCTCAGAATTGATTGGACATGGGAGACTGGAGCAAAGGACTTACTCCTCAGTGATGGTGTTCACTAACTTCCCTATGAACTGGCCTGATTTCAAAGGTCTACCTAAACACAAATGACCAGATGATTTTCTTAGGATTCCTGGGCTCATTAATGGTCTCTGGCGGCAGACAGTGATTTTTTTACCCCTGCAGGAGAAGGTGACTCTCCTTTCAAGAAAATAGATGGACTTGGCATGTTCTAGCATTGCCTGCTGTTACTAGTTTATTAACCTGTAATAGTTTTTACATACACAAAATGTCATTTTTATTTTATTGAATATTTTGATTACATCTACTTACAGGAGTTAATCCTTACCTCCCATTATGTGGGTCCTGGGTATCAAACTCAAGCTGTCAGATTTTTCAGAGAGAAACTTTAATCACCAAGTCAAGAGTTCATTTTGTAAAAATTCACTCTGATCTAGACTAGTATTGGGTCATTCTTTGCAGGGATTCTGGGGAGATTAGGTGCTTAGTTGTGGGGTCTCTGTAGACACCAGGCCAGTGGGATAACGAAATGGGGTTTAGCGCAACTCAGTAGCTGGTGCTGGGGCAAACTTTAGAGTCTGACACAGGCAATTTATTTGAGGCATATTTAAGCACAGCACAATTTTGGAAAAGAAGTTTCCTGATGATAATTAAATCAGTCTCATGTGTACAACAAAGCTTAAGGCATGTTTACATTGAAACTCTACAAAGTAAATGTGACCTTTTCCATAAAGATGGGTCCTATTGATTGAGAAGCCATGCTCAAAATTAGCGTCTAGGGAGAGTGACTAAGATAAATGTAAAAGTTTGAGGGAGCCTGATAAAGCCTGGCCCTACAGATAGCACAGACCACCAGGTTATGAACTACATTGACTCCCAGTTTTCTGGGCTGAAAACCAATATACACTCCTGGTTTCCCTAGCGCTTATCTGTGAGCACAAAGACCTGGTGCCCTCTCCATTTAGTCAACAAGAGGAGGAGGAAGTTGAGAGAGTCAAATTCCTTTAATTCAGTATTTATGCAGTAAACAAAATGCATCTCTCTAGCTGTGAGTACTTGGATAAGTATCAACTAAAGAAACTTGAACTATAAACTTTGACCTCATGGAAGAGCTGCTCATTAGTAACACATTTACTTATAACCAAAGATGAGTTTACTTAGTATATATGTGCATGCACAGTTGATTTGACTCTCTGGAACCATACTTCCTAGAGTTTCTATAAAGTCAGTAGGTTGTATTTCCCTCAGAATGACTAGAGAGAGGATTTTGGAAATGTTCTTTTATCTTTAGCCAAATGAGCATAGTCTGCATATTCTTCCTACAGAGTGTGGATCCTTATTTCTATGTAATTGAGCACATAATGAGTCATACGTGATGAAAACAGTAGTGGGTGGTCAGACCGGTAAGTCTTTCATCTTAGCCCAGTGGTT